GAAATTAAAACAAAATGAACCTGCATATATTCTTTATTAACAAGGAATTCAACAATGATTATGATAACAGTAGTAATAATCATAATCATTATGATAATAATGATAGTAGTAATATTAGCATTGATCATATTAGCAATGATAATTCATTATCATCATTTAAATGTAAGTATAGGTTGTGATTTTATGGGTCTTGTTGGATTATGTGATGTAAAAAAATAGAAATAGAAATTATGGTGGTGATGATTGATGCATGTCGGAATCGCAAGAGCCTGGCCAAGATCTGAAAATTTTTGAATATTCCAAGCCTCAGTTGAAGGATTGACATAATCAGCAGCCCATACAAAAAGAACATCACAGGAAAGAAGCTCAAAATAAACAACACCATTATCACCACATCCTCAATCACAACCTCAATCATCTTCCCCCTCACAAATCACCACCACCATCATCAACTGTCTCACCTTGATGGACTTTGTAACAACCATAGCCTTGCCTTCCCCAATCTCACTTGAATATCCAAAATCACATTCATTTATCCTGCCAGTTATGTAAATTAGTACAGCTGATACAGGAATCAATTTTCGTATAAAAGGTCATGCTCATAGAGGTGGTGGCAAGATGAGGGAGCAAGCATCATAGTGCCATTGGAATTACTAATGGCTGTTGATCCTCAAAAACTTGTGACAGTGTTTCCAATATAATAGGCTTATGCGATTCTGTAGAATTATCAAAGGCAAGATCACTAGTGAGTGTCAAAGCATATGGTGCTATTGAGTGTGTCAACCCCATCATGTGTTTCATTCAAGTGTGGCTACACTATAAAGTCATTCAACATTGCTCTCAACTTCTCATTTCACATTACCATCTTTCTCAAGAACCTACACACCTGCACAAACCATTAACACCAGTCAACATTTCTTCAACACACACTCTCAATATTGAAAAGATCCAACAGGAGCTTCTCCTGGTCAGGGAGATTTAATATTAATCGGGAATTAATAAGAAGGATTATTAAATCATTCGAACATATATTAACATACTCGTAATTTGTTTAAATATAGATATCTTTACATAATTTCTACATATACTTATAATCATTATCATATAGTAATAATTCTTTTAAATTTAATAATTATTATTTCATCTTTTGCTGGTTGCAGACAAGAACATTTTTCTGCACTTTTAAAATATTTTTTAATTACATATATATGTGATATAAATACAAATAGTATTAACTACTTCCTACTAAAATATGTGATATTACAATATAATGATATAATATTTTCTTTTCTTCATTAAAGTTTAGCTTTGATATTATTATTTACAGTTGTAATTTCATCATATAACAAAGTAGTGATAAAATCTGAATAATCTTTACCAGCGATCTGACTTGCCAAATATCGTTTTGCCAAAATATATTTTGTACTACCAAATTTCTGAGGACCAATCTGTCTTTCCAAATTTGTAACTTCTTCATCAAGCAATTTAAGTAAATATTCACCTGTGATAACTTTACCCTCAATAGTTCTAGCACGATGTTTAGCCCATTGCCATAACTGAGATCTTGAAATTTCAGCGGTTGCGGCATCCTCCATAAGATTATGAATAGGTACACAACCCAAACCACGAAGCCATGATTCAATATATGTAAGACCAACTGAGATGTTGTTGCGAATACTTGCTTCAGTGATTGAACCAGGGAAATTTGTGTTAAGTAAATTCAATGCATTAACATTGACATCTTCACGCCTAATAAAAATTTGATTTGGTGTTTTCAAATGTTCATTAAACACATCTAATGCAAGTTTAACAAGGTCAGGATGTGCAACCCAAGTCCCATCATGTCCTGCCTTTACTTCACGAAGTTTATCAGCTCTGACTTTGTTCATGGCAATCTGATTGGCTGCTGGGTCATTTTTGATGGGGATTTGTGCTGCCATACCACCCATTGCATGTACACCTCTACGGTGACATGTCTTGATCAATAGACGTACATATGAATCCATGAATGGAACTGTCATTGTGACATCTGAGCGACTTGGTAAAACAAAGTTGGGATTGTTTCTGAATTTTTTGATCATAGAGAAAATGTAATCCCATCGACCACAATTAAGTCCGGCAGAATGTTCTTTTAATTCATAAATTATTTCATCCATTTCAAAGGCTGCAAGAATTGTTTCAATCAATACAGTGGCACGAATTGTTCCTCGAGGAATACCAAGAAGATCTTGTGCAACATTAAATATATCATTCCAAAGTCTTTTGTTATTTTGAGAAAATATAAAAAAATTTTTCACCTGTCAATTGTTAGTTTAATAATAAAAAAGTGTAAAACTTACGTCGGCACTGTAAGATTTACACAATATTACGTCGGCATTGTAAGATTTATGCAAGTTTACGCTAAATTAATTTCCTGATGATAGTGAAAAATAAATATGTATAAATTATTAGTAATAAAATGTATAAATTAAGAATAATTAATAAATTAATAAAAATAATTGTATAATGTCAATCATTTCAAAGAGTAAAAAAAAAAAAAATTTTTTTAACTAAATCAAAGAAACGTCTCATTTTTTTCATCTCATGCTTCCCAAAAAATTGTGTTTAATAAAAATTGATTTTTTTTTTATCATCATCTCAACAATGCTCACTCGATCTATTCGATCGATCTGTTCGTTTGTTCGCTCAATTTCAAAGAGTAAAAAAAAAAAAATTTTTTTAACTAAATCAAAGAAACGTCTCATTTTTTTCATCTCATGCTTCCCAAAAAATTGTGTTTAATAAAAATTGATTTTTTTTTTATCATCATCTCAACAATGCTCACTCGATCTATTCGATCGATCTGTTCGTTTGTTCGCTCATGTATAATGAGCACTCTTCTACAACGTCTTGTTTCCCGTACCACTGTTTATTTACAAATATGGGGCGAAAAACAACAAATATAGGCAAACAAACAAAAAAAAAAACAGTAGATCAAAACCAAATTCATACAATCTATTCCAATAAAGGAAAAAAGCAGTGTTACGGGATATGAGCAATCTTTTATAAGTGTTAATTATTTATTAATCCAAAAAATCAAAAATATGAAATTTTCTATTTTTATTTGTGCTTGCTGTCTTGGTAAATTCAACTAAAGCATTACCGGTTTCTCTTGACGATAATAAAGAGATTTTGTCACAAATCCTGTTGGTGATAACACATTTCAAAATCTTGATGATGCTCACCAAAGACAATGCGAAGTTCAGGTAGTATATACTAAAGATGATGATCAATTCTTCAATTATTATTTTAATTCTTTAGAAAAATGGCTATTTTAATAAATTAAATGGCGGCGATAAATCATTTTCAGGACAAGATTGTGAAAACAAGCATAACGTGCTATTATTTATTTTATTAATCAAAAAAATCTTAATTAAATATATTTTGTAATAGTAGTATATAGTAGTTTTCGAATAGTCCCATTGATTGTATTTTGAAAAAAAAGCCAATTCTTAAAAAAAAAAAAAGGTCATCAAATAATAATAAAATGCTTTATATTGACAGTGATGAAATTGATTCCAAGTAATGGAACGTCAAATCCGCCTCATAAAAAAAAACTCTTAATTAAACCTTTGCCAATAATACTTTAATGAAGTTGAAGATTGAATAAAAACATAATAAAGAAATATTTACACAAAAATTAATTACATATAAAATAAATCTATCTCCCAAAGGATAGCATGGAGGGATATAAAGTCATATTCAAACTTTCCTTTATCCTTTGTTGTTTAACCTGAGCGGATCTAATTAATTTTAAGAATTCGTGAAAGGATAGGCACCTTTCTTCCCTCTTTTTTTTTTCTGTTTGCACAACATCTACACATATAGGAATCTACATCCCTTTTCGTACTATATTACGAATTAGCGGAGTATTATTATTGTTCCCATCATAAAAATATCATGGAACCAAAACGACTTATAATTGGAGCGGTTGTTTTTCCTGGCTGGTATACTCTTGATTTATGTGGACCTATAAGCCTTATGGGATCAATACAAGGAATAGAACCATTACCAAAAGTTGAAATGTACACAATAACATCGCCTACCCAAACTGATAAATTAGTTAAATCTTTTCAAAACTTTACAGCAAAAGCCGACTTCCATTTTAATGATAAAAATATTCCTGCGTTTAATGTTTTATTAGTACCAGGTACATAAATATATTATTAATAATAAGTAAAACATTGAATTATCTCAAATTATATATATATATATATATATATACACACACATATAGAATTTTAAATAAAATTTTTTTATTAAACAATGAAATAAATCAAAGGATGGTTAAATAACGATACATTGTTAAAAGATCAAGAATATCTGAATTTTTTGAAAACCTGGATTCCAAAAGTTGAATATGTTTTAACTGTTTGTATTGGAAGTGTTTTGGTAGCTGCAACTGGGTTGCTGGATGGAAAGCAAGCAACTACAAATAAACAAGCTATAAAATATCGTTGGAATGATTTAGTTATTGGTGCAGGTATTGACAATTATTTATAATATATACTTTATAATATATCATTTGATTAATATTATTTTATACTTAGGTCCAAATGTTAAATGGTCCAAAGTTGCTCGATGGGTTGTAGATGACAAATTTTATACTGCTTCTGGAGGTTTGTTTGTTTGTTTGTTTGTTTGTTTTATTTTTGGGAAAAAAGAACAAACTAACATTAATATAACAAAATTTTTAATTATTTTATATAGTCGCAGCAGGTACTTAAATATATATTTGCATTTGTATTTTTTTTAATAATAATAATAATAATAATAATAATAATAATAATAATAATTAATAAATAATTCATAATTTCAATTTGATAGGAATGGATATGGCTTTGGATTTTATTAGAGAGGTTTATGGTGAAGAAGTAGCAATAGCGACAGCTCAAGCTGCTGAATATGATTGGCATCAAGATCCACATTATGATCCTTTTGCTAAGAAATTGGGACTTTCGAATTCTAAAGATTCAGAATTAGGATATTTTGTTTAAAAAATATTTTTTCTATCCCAATTGAAATAATTTATATTATAAATGCCTGCAACACCTATATAAAATCCTAGTCATATATATATATTATATAATTATTTTTTCTTTGTAATAAATAAAATGGATCTCTTTTTCTTTTTTTAATGAATGATATGAATAATAATAATAATTGTTACCTAATTTGTACAATTGATGAGATTGTAATTGTTGTAATTTACGCGTTTAATTAATCTTCTTGTAATAATTATAACAATAACAACAACAATATATAAAATATATAAATTGTATAAAATCAATCAATTATTTATTCAATTAGCCATAGAGCTTACAAATTTTTGATATTTACTTGGTTCTAAATTATACCTCCCCACAATTGATCTTTACTTGAAGGATATAGTAGCGGGCTTTTGAGATCTTAATTTTTGTTCAGTCCATTCTATATATGCACTCATTATTGGGTTTAAGGCAGGACTTTGTGCAGCCTAAGGAAGACATTTGATGACTTCTTCTTCTTCTTCTTCTTACTTAAATTTGATGGATGTATTTGAGCATTATTCACTTACAAAATTGGGAAATTTTACGCATAAAATATCTTGTGATTTCATTTTCCTATCAGTCGAGCTGATAGTCCAAGACCTTTTTTATGAAAGCATAATCCTTTCTGGCCGGATTCATTGTAGGAACCTAAACATATTTTAACTTTCAGCTTTTTTCCTCCGCTACCATATCTTTCCATTCCTTTAAAAGTCAGCATTTATCCACGATCCTACTTCGAAGGATGATAGTAATACAGATAATTGCTAATTATAAACATCACATCTAAATCATCTAAACCATATTCCCTAATTACATAGCACACGCACAGGTTATCTGTAGTAGTGGTGGTGGTAACTCTAAAAAAAATTTTGGTAATTGAACCACAACTCGTTGTCTGCTTCTTTAGATGAGCTGGCTGGCTGCTGACTGTCTTTTAATTAAGCAAAAATTTCTTTATACTCTGATGAATTAACCATAGGTTGTACACAAACTCAAGGGTGACACTAGATCCCTTTTTCTATTTAAACATTGAAAGTTTTTTTTTTGCTCCGGTATATCATTTGCTTCTATATATTAATCTCTTTCCATACTAATACCATCATCATCTCATTATAAAAAATTTAAACCGAAAAGTTTCGACCAATATTTATCACCAAAAGAACTAAATACAACCTTCTAGCAGAGAAAGATCATCTCTAAAAATATACCTTCGCTACAGGCATAGTTAATTAATGCCTTTTCCCAAAATCCTATGATGTAAAGTCAATAATAATCTTTTTTATATTATAGATCAAATAATAACGAGGGAAAGAAGTATACAGGAATGTCGATTTTTTTTCATATAATACAGGTCCCCGAACCATTACTGTTGCTGTTTTGTTGTTTTTTATCGCTGTTAATATTAATATTATTTCTTGGAGAACTTTTAATTCATGATTCATTTTTTTGTTTGTTTACAATGAGGTATATAACGCCAGCATAATTTTATTAAATTGTCCCTAGTAAACTCAACATAACATATTAATATTAATATTAAAATCAATATAGAAATCACCACGGAACCAAACCTTTCACCATTACTGTTTTACTGTTATAGTAAAATTAGTCATGTAACGATTTGTGTAATCAAATTCCAAATTTCAAATCTAAATATTTATATCATATAAACATGATAATTTATAACATAATAATAATATTTTAAAATTAATAGTTGAATTATTATTATTACCAGTAATTGTCACTCTATCGGAATTCACAGGTTGGGGAAGGCTTGTAAATTTTAATAATCTGCTAGTATGAACTGCATTTGGATGAACTGTTGCAGTAATCGTCAAAGGATCAAATTTTATTTGTCCATTTTCTTTACTCTTTTCTAATTCATCATGCTATTCTTTTGAATATCGTTCAGATCTTTCAATGATCCATTCTTAAGTGTAAATGCAAGTGTTGATGTTACTGTTATTTTAGATTTAACTGATAGAAAATTGGAATCAAACAATTCAAATGTTAACCAATAAAAAGAAAAAGGTTGTTATTCTTTGAGGTCTATTATTTATTTATAAAGCACATGTCACTTTAACCAGTAC